AAAAAAAAAAAAAATACTACTTAAACTGAGGAAATTCTTTCTAAAATAGCTGTCTCTCGTATGTGTCCAGCAATTAAAGTATCAGTTTGAATATTTTCTGCTCTAGTTAGTATTTGTTCAATTCTGAATTTTAAAACTCTTGAGCTTTTGAGTATTAAAAAAGGAATGCAACACTTTTAGTTCAAGATAGCAGTCTGAATTCAACATTTCCCTCTCCTCCCTCAAATAAAATCTGATTGAATTAACAATAAAGAAGTTTTTATAAAATGAAATAAATTGGTAAAAGCATGAAAGCAGGAGGGGAACACATCAGAGGACTAAAGGTTTTGAAAAGAGAATGGAAATTAGATTTAGAGAGCAGAATCAATCAGAACTAAAAATAAACTGTAACAGAGGAAGCCACATCCCCAAGGAATTTTCAAATAAGAGAAGCCTGTAGCACAGGTGGTAACTATCTTCCCACAATGGAGTCCCCTGTGATCAGCTGATCCAGAAAACAAGAATGAGAAGAGGAAGAGAAATCAAGATGTTTGACTTAAGAATTACCTGCACATGGGCTGCTTGAGCGGGGCTCTTACAGCCCTGCATAGATAGCAATGGTGTTTGCCCAAGACGGCAGTCTGCAACAATACTCAAAAAAAAGCACGTGATCTGTTTTAGAGAAGCCAGGGATTCAACATGAGGGTTAGTGCCCTCCATGTTTTGGGTTTTTTTTGAGTGCCTGATTGGGTGGAGATCCCAACTTGTCTGTCAGCCTGCCTGATAACTGCCTGACTCCTGCCTGCTCACCCTAAAATGAAGTCTATCTGTTGGTGGGCTAGTGCTTGCAACTAACCCATCATTCGAGGAGAGGCCAGAATTGGCAAAGCCTGGAAATCAGGAAGGCTTGTTTTTTCCTTCATAAATGTGAATAGGCATTCGAAGGAAACTGCAGCACAGAAGAGAAATGTCACAGGTTGGGCTGTGATACACTGCTGAACTTAGTATCGTGCAACTATTAAAATATTTGCAAGGAGTTTACAATAAAAGAAAATGATTTATTTATGATAAGTAAAAAAAAAGTAGCTTATAGCTTTAAAAGAAGGATTGTCAGTGTTTTGTGTGGTAAGGTAAGCCATTTGTCTTTGTAGATCTTTCAAATCTGGAACATATCCACATCTAATAATGTGAGCTTTTTCTTCTTTTAAAAATTTGTTCTGTACCAACATCTATAAAAACATTTTTTCCTGTAGAATGATTCTGAGCCATACTAGTCTCTGTGGAATATATACATTTGGAATGATATTTAGAGAAAAGTAAATAGCTTTTTCAAAATAGAAAAGGGAAAACCTACTAAAATTCTATCCATTATTATAACTAAGTTTACAAAAAGCAAAATAGTCATGTCTGGAAAATAAGGTATCTTATATCAACATTTTAACAGTATGTGTCTTTAGCTACTGAGACTTGATGACTTTTTCTGTATACTTTTA